AGTTGAATTTCATTTCAGCCTTTAATAAATTAGGAAAAAAATTGGGAGAGAATATTCTCTTCTGCGTAGATATACATAAATAAATATTTGTCATACCGGAGTTGAAAAGATTATCTTGTCATTGACACCCATTTAATATATCCCTATCATCCTACTTTGTAAATGACAATAGAATGGCATTTTTTACTTATTTGTTAATGACAACCTAATAGTCATAATATTACTCTCTCTCTTATTCCTCCCTCCTTATATAGATAATAAAACCTTTGTAAAGTTTGATAAAATCATTAAATTTGGGATTTAACAATGATATTCGTCTTATGCATAACCAATTCTCTTTCCCTCTTTTCCCGCCCCTGTGTTTTCTTCCTCCTAGTCACAAGAGATTAAAAAAGAAATAGAAAAGGAGTATGCCAAATTCATTTTAATCATTTGTGTATTTTTATTTATGTATAAAAAGGTAACTGCCTTGTCTTCTTTTTCAACTCCCTATTATTGTCCTTTGTGGTGTTACCATGGTGAGATTTCAGTTTTATAGGGGACCACCCTAATCGTCATATGACTCAAGATAAATTTATATCTCACATTAGTTGGTCATATTGAACATCAGTGTTAATATGTCGGCTTCTAGTACGGACTTATCAATGATGTTTGAAGATTAACCTAATACCATTTGGTTGACAATGACTAGGATGCGAATTTCGTCCTATTTGGGATTCGTCAACTTGGGTGTGTTTATATAACTTCAGCGAGTGAATAAAGAGTCCCTGACTGAGACTCGAATGCAGCACTCATTGCTTCAAACATTATAGATCAGTACCATGGGAATGTAGACTGATTTCTATTAGATGAAAACATACGGTTCCGCCCTCCATGATTCATCCAGATGACGAGTCCTGAATAGGAGGAAACTCACATTTTGAATCAAATACAAGATATAGGAATAGTACTTGGCTACTCTATTATATTATTCCCTTGGGTTCCAAGTGGAACATAAGGCTTCAACAACGCATCTCCACTTTCTTCTATTTTCCGCTGTCCTCTTCAGCTAGGTTAGTGATTGCGCACAATCTCTCATCTCTTCCTCACACGATCTTCTCCATGTCAACCTCGGACGACCCACTCGTTGCTTTCTGAGCGCTGTGGTAAAGTGTAATTCTATCAATCGAATAAGAGTCGTAATTTATAGCGAAATATTTTTCAAATGTTGGTTTACATGGATTTGATTGGTTACAGGATTTTAGAGAATAACTGGGGAACTAGGACTCTTCTGCAGTACGCACCCACCGGCTTTCGAATGCAAGAGATTCCGGTGACAAGTGGAGCTTATAGACCATTTAGCAACTGGGACCTGAACCAACAGCTTATGGATTCCAAATTCTACCAATTCTTGAAATACTGCACAACCAAGAGCCAGCATCACTAATGAGTAACTGCTCTTTCACCTGATTTGGTGGACCCCATCGGGTGTGACTTCTCACTAGAACTCCCAGGTAACTTCCTGTGTAGAACCGATCACTAGTGGACAGCAGATTAATTATCAAGTTCTGGTTTGTTGGTATTTGAATGGTTAGAGGTCCCAGTGGTTGAATCGTCTATCATCTGCTCACCTTTTAATCGGAAAGTCTTAGATTCTGGCACCCAGGTGGGTGCGTACTGGTGAAGAGCCTCTCCAAAGTAGCTGTCCAGTACTTCCTATTTGTCGGCTCTGTTGATCACATCTGTAAAAGCATATTTTTAAATTTACCGCTTCTTTTCTGAATTAATTTTGAGAATTAATTATTTTTTAAAACGTATTTTATGATTACATTTATAATTTTGATTTGTTTCATTCTCATTAAGATTAAACATTCAAGTACACTTTGCTTTTCTGTTAACATGTAAACAATCAACTCAGCTAACATTTGTGCGTGTATGTATGCGTGATTGTCTGTTGGTGTATGTCGGCTTGTATCATCTTTGGCTTGCAGTTTATATAAAGGTCACTAAAATGTTTACTTTTCAAATTATGTTAATTTTAAATTTCAAACATAAATATTTATTGTTTATTTACATGTTACATGACGAATTTACTTACGCTTTTCACTATTTCTAATTATGATTACATAACTTTAGTTTGTCTTTGCATCAGTTGGTTTAAACAACTCTCGGAGGCCTGCTTAAAACTTAAACTACTGAAAAACCTCTATCATTGTATTTTGCACATAATTTCTCTTATTTTGTGCGTCGATGACACAGCAGTACCATGCTGACCGACCACGCATGTGGTTCGCGGTTCGATCCCCGGCCGACGCATTCCTTTACCTCGCTAAGCCGGTAATAAGAGTGGTAAAGAGGAAAGGTTGGACATGTAGCTAGCAACCCCATCCCGTAAAAATAAACACCACTGCTTTCGAAACTTCAAAGCTTTAGCTTGAAGCCCTATGTTCCATTAGGAATGTGAAGGAATAAAAGAAATTTCTTCATTAGTATGTGTAAGTCTGATAAACTACAACCTCCAACAGTATCTATTTCACTCTCGACAGTATTTAAAAAATTTACAATCTGCTCATTCCCAAGTCTCTACTAAATATGAGATAAATCACTATCCACAATGGATGACAGCTTATCCCAGTACATCAGATAATCCTTCCTCACTGGTATCCTCGGTTCACAAAATGTACTCCTGATCTTTTTATAATAGGCATTCATCAAGAAAATGTTGTCATGTATTTCTCGAAGGAGAGAAATCAGAGACATCATAATGGTGGACTGGTTTACTCTTCGGGTCAGATAGAAGGAACTTTGTTACAAGATATACTGTCAATTAATCAATCTTTTATCTATTACACCTTCAGTCATCACCCATCACAATAAAATGTATTCGTCGGGAACAGAATTTTATCAATCAGCGATATGGTAAAATTTATCTAGCCTAGTGGAAAACGTTTGGTTTGAGTCTCAAGAGGAACAACATCACATGATTGGATGAGGGCTGGTACAGGTGACGAGTTGCAAAAAATTGAATTTTGTGCCCTGGATTCTATTGCAAGCCACCACCAAGACAAGTAGATTCTAGTTGTTAATCTTGGTAATATCAAGACATCCATTCAGGAGGTCATAAACGGATACTGAGGTTAACCGATTTTGTTAGATTCAGTAACAAGAAGTCACAAAGGTGAATCATTCTGGCATTCATAGTTACTTGGTAAAAGGTGGTGTTTTGTTTAGATTTTGAAATTGTTGATGTAATTCTCAGAAAACTGTATTTTTTAAACTTGAAGGAAGTTGTATCTTCTTGAAGATCACAATATGCACCACACAGTAATGAAGTTAGATGCTTTACTATTCCATTACTTAAGTGACAAGTGGTCTTTAACCTGTGATTTATTAAGGTTTCTCTGATTAAGTGTATACATCTCACTTTGGCTTGAAGTGAAATTCACATTGCAAGATTCTTCGCATTACAGACACATCGGTTGAATGTTTTTGAATTTGGGCGACTGGTTAGCCTCTCAATTAATTCTTCAAACTAACATCTGTCGTTTCGAACTCTGCAGCGTCACCAGCTAATCTAATGAAACTTGAAGACTGCTTCATTTAGTATGAGTATGATTCAAAAGTCACTTTAAGTATACTTGAAATTTCCGGGACCTAGCTGATCACGCTATTCAAGTACTGGTTTGTAGGGATTCGATTGATTGGTTACAGGATTTCATTATGAGCTGATATCGGTTACAGAACCATCGGAGAACCATCAGGGAGTACTGGACAGATATTTCGTCCTAGTGTGGGACCCTTCATCCGTACGCACCCACAGGAGTTCGAACCCAGGACCTTCTGGTTACAAGGCGAGTCTGCAGACCACTAAACCACTATAACCCTATCTAATGGCCCATGAATTCCGGTACTTGTCCAGTACTCCCAGGTTTTCCAATGGAGGATTCAAGCCTTGAACTATCATTATTACTATAAATTTATTCTAAACAATGTTTATATAATGTACAAAATTTCCCGCGGAGTTTATCGCGTCATATTTTCTCTTCTTCCAGGATCTTCAAATAAAAAGGATTAATTGACAGTATATCTTGTAACAAAGTTCCTTCTATCTGACCCGAAGAGTAAACCAGTCCACCATTATGATGTCTCTGATTTCTCTCCTTCGAGAAATACATGACAACATTTTCTTGATGAATGCCTATTATAAAAAGATCAGGAGTACATTTTGTGAACCGAGGATACCAGTGAGGAAGGATTATCTGATGTACTGGGATAAGCTGTCATCCATTGTGGATAGTGATTTATCTCATATTTAGTAGAGACTTGGGAATGAGCAGGTTGTAAATGCGTTACATACTCTCGAGAGTCAAACAGATACTATTAGAGGTTTTAGTTTACTAGACTGAAACCAAATGAATAAGGGAAATTATGTGCAATATACAATGATGGAGATTTTCGATAGCCCTTCTCCTATCAACCCTAACCACATACTGAATTAGAAATAGAAGAGTGAGAGACTGTATTTTTTAATTTTTGTGTTCCTTTACGTTCCCATTGCAGCATACGGCTTCAAGCTAGAGGTGTGAAGTTTCGGCAGCAATATTGTTTCTTTTATTGGATGGGTTCACTAGCTTCATGTCCAACCTTCCCTCCTTAACGATCTTTTTACCAGCTTAGAGAGGTAAAGAAGTGTGTCGGCCGTGGAGCCGACCACATGCGTGGTTGGCGATTATTCTACCGCTAAGCCACCGACGCTAAGAAACTGTATTAGTTTTGGTAAATATTACAATTTGAATATATTTTAGTTTCCAATATAGAAAATGATTTTGAATTATGTAATTTTGGCAAACATCTGCGTAACTTAGAAACCAGACACTAAATTTGTTTATTACCTGATTTATTTCTATCACAATAACAGCCTACACTTGAAAAGTTATCTCAGAGATAATATTGAACGAGCTACTTTTACTCAATGTTCAATTTGAATTTCGTTATCTTGTTTTAATTTTTCCCTTTCACAGTTTAATTTGGTGTTCAGTTTATCATGGTGAATTGGCAGACCGATTGATTAGAAAACCAGATGAATTACGTGCTAAAGAGTTATGTAATAGCAACATTAATTGTACTAGTAAGGCAGCATCTGTGTCAAATACAAATCGTATTAATAATTTAATATGGCTTAAAATTCCTATTCCAAGGACAACGGCGTCGACAACAACTGAAAAGACACAGGCGACACAGTCCAGTAACAAAAAACGCACATCATCATCATTATCGTTACCACCATCAACACAAGCACAAACACCTAGTTATGCTACAAATACAATAAATTTACTATCTATAATCTATCATATATTTCTACCTATTTCTTATGAATTTGGACCAGATCTAGTCTATTTATTGATTGGATCTAATGAAGATGATTATGTGAGTCGTTAAGTATAATTTGTTTTTTTTTTTTGAAGATTTAATTTCATTTGGGTATCTGATAACTGGTTGTTCTGTCGTCTTTCGTTCCTCTTTTTTCATTGTTTCTTGTCCATTTTTTGTTGCTGTTAACATAACACATGGTAAGGTTGTTTGATTACACTTAAGTGTTTAATATTCTTTTATTTTTTTCGGCAATCTTAGTTAGACATGTGTACAGCTTTCACTGCCTTTAAAGTTTAACCCTAGGGCCTTACTGACGACAGTACCAATAAGCGTGAAAGTCAGGTGCATGGCATCCTGTCGATTGCCTTTATCAGGTATCTAACACCAGTTCAAAATTCATCATGATGGCGAGTCACCTAGTGATATGACCATTTGACCTATAGAAATCATTTAAATAAATTAGACATTAAGAAGACATCATTTTACGTTCGCTTTATAACTAACGTGGTTCACAATAATAAAATGAAAATGTAAGACAATTTGAAGTAATTTGTTAGATGGTGACGAGCAGTGGATAACGCAGGATAACGCACATTTCGTCCTGTTTGTGACTCGTCAGCCATTGACTAGATGTACCTGCATTCCCCAGTGAGTCAGTGAGCGATGGTGTCTCCACTGAGGCTCGAACCCAGTACCTATCACTTCAAACATTAAAGACCACCTGGGACATGGGAGCCAATTCTTCCTTGTGAAACGGGTATCAGTAATTATATAATTCAGTTTAGAGTCTCCCGTTGATTGACTGGACTGAAGTGTTCAGCCCTCGAATTGAATTAAATGTATGACAATTGCTCAGTTATATAAAATAAAAGTACATAATAATAACCAATCATATTTTAGTAGGTCAAGTAGTCCATGGTAGGCATAGGTTGAAGTCCATTGTTTTCTGTACACATATAGTTAGGAATGAATGTGATTCATCCAAAGTGTCTCCATCATTTTCAATAACCTTGAATTAGAGTTATGTGAAGTAGTTATGATGCAGTTATGAATATTGATTTTTCTAATCAGGCCTGAATAAATCCTTTGCAATGGATGATGCTGTATTGCTATTCCGATTAAGTGTATTTGGGTTTTCTGTGTGTTTTAATAGCCACACTGGAACATTCTGTTGATTCTACCTGTTTATGTGTCACCGCAAATGCAGGTGAGCTTATAGATTCATTGTGAAGTAGAGTCCACAGAAATTTTGTCCTTTGAGGAAAGGGGATAGCTGACGGAAGCCTTTGAATTGTAAAATTGCATAATCTGATCACCCTTGAATAACAATTAAATAAAGATAGCCTTCATTGACATTGAACCTGTCTTTTCAAGGGGTATTCTCTCTCTGCTGCCAATAAAACTGAATATATGCGCTGTCACACATTCAGTTTTATTATTGTGAACCGTGTTAATTGTAAAGAGATTGTAGAGAAACTTCGAAATGAAGGTATCACCTCACGATAGCTATCTTCTCAATACCTTATTTAATTTTAACCAAATGGACTGGCTGTTTCAATTACGGAATTCATTTAGCACCGAGATTAGAAACTAAACATATGATATCAGTTATTCCGTAGTAACCATCAATGAATCTTATTTTGAAGATTGAAGCGAAATGCTGATGTGTTAATTCTTCTGAGTAGAAAATCTTATAAACGTTTGTATACCAAATACTGTTTTTGTTTTAGTGACTATTTACCCAGGTCTCTGTAATCAGTGATTGATTTCGATAAGCAACTTCGTGTGCGTCGGTGGCACAGTGGTTAGGACTCTCGCCGACCATGCACATGGTCCGGGGTTCGATCCCCTGCCGACGCACACCCGATATCTATGGTCGGCCTGAATTTGGGCTACCGATATCCATGCTGAAAATGTCATACTTGTACTGAAAATACGGTGTGGCATCAAGCTGCTATCGAAAATAGAAAATCGAAAATAGAAAAAATAGAAATAGAACTTCGTTGATATTTCGCAGTTTAATCAAGTTGCTCATCAGTGTTCTTCGAAGTGAGAACAGAAGTGGGACAAGGTTATCGACTATCGCCGATGATATTCTTTGAATGTGGTGGACTGGATCATGTAATAGATGGTGGGTAGTGAGAAGACAGGCATACTCTGGACCGACAAAAGGTAACCAGAAGATTTTGACTTCACAGATGACTTATGTCTAATGTTACACAAACTCGAAGGTGTAAAGGTTAAAATCGATAATTTGACAAAAGAGACAGTGAAAACAGGACTTCAGGCGAACATAAGGAAGACAGACCTGATGAAGATATCCAACCGATAACGACAACAACAACGAAAAACGCCAGTTACCCTCAACAAGAGAAATTCAGAAGAAATCATCTCCTTCAGTTACTTGGTCGGACAATATCATTTCAAATACAGTCAACAGGGATGAAGATGATGATGATGGTGTCAAAACCAGGCAACCAGGATCGGAAAAGCAAGACGACTATTCATTACTTTGAAATCGGTTCTACTGAGATCTACAGCACTCAGTACAAATTTTTAACCCTATTGTCAAGTCAGTGAGTGTTTCAGAGATTTGGTATTTGAATCGCTAACTGCCGACTTTCATCAACACCTGTTTATAGCTCGATACTGAAGATTAGATGGCCAGCCAGAAAGGGTAATCAATAAAGGCAACAAACTAGCCTAGAACCTGTTACCCGACAAATACGCAGGAGGAGTGAGTGTGAAATGGATATACAGTTAGGAGACCGTTAGGTGACACCACACGCTGTGCAGACCCCAGAGTGGACGCAAAATTGAAAGTGACCAGTTGTGTGTGCGGAGGTTACATGTTGCAATACTCAAATTCTCTCACGGAATTTTTCCTTGATCTCTCCTGCGAAATTCATAGCAATAGGTTGAGTAGAAATTATGGCTAAGAGACGTTATTGGAAGATTTAAAACAGTATGCTGTAGAGTGAATATTATGGTGAATTCAAGCCATGCATTCCAACCAGAGCCGTCTTTTAAGATTATCCACAAGGTGATAACGAATGGTATAAAGGGCGTTAGCTTTCGGTATTTGTGTATGGCGGAGGCGTTGGCAATTCGTCAACACAACTCCGAACTCTGTATATAGAAAAAGTTTGTCCAGTCTCTTATGCTACCATGCACTTAACCTCTTCATTAACTGTTCCCTATAAATTTTTACTTTTTAATAGTTAATTCACTATTATCACTCTCACATTTTTCTTTTGTACGTTTTCTCGCCCTCCTCACACTTGTTAAATGGACACTAAACTGCCTTTCTTCTCACTCAGTAACAATTTTAACCTTATCAAATTTCTAACCCTCTCTTTCTTTGTGGTGTTGAGTATTACGTAATTTATAACTTTTATTTTTACTTTTGAAGTCATTTCTGAGTAATTATATCAATTATGTCAACCCCCCTGTTACTCAGTAATTGAAAACTATAATTTCTTTGGTAAATATAAATATTTCATATATCTGGTTCCCTTGATAAATTTCGATAGAGAAAGAAAGACCAGATTTACAGGATAAAATGTGATATCATTCTATTTCACAGGTTCTCATCAGCTGCAAACTACCTGAAATTACATTGCTTATAAATAATGAAATTTCATACTTCAATGTTTGAAAGGTAATAATGAAAACATTATAAGATGAACGCATCCGGAATATAAGGATTACAATCTTTAGTTTAAGTTACCATCAATTTATATACTATCAAACTATGAAAGAAAACAGGGGGTGAGAGAAGACAGAAAACAGAAAAATCTAATAAACAGTGTTAGCTTGTACGTCAACATGGCAACCCAAGAGGGTTAAAGTTCATCAAATTGAAAACTACCTCAGTGAACTGAGCTCACTAATATGTATGACTAATCAGTGTAATCAAAGTAATACGGTTCCCAAAGGAGTGAGAGATTGACTACACTCTCTTTCTGTGTACATAAGTTTGGTCTGAAACGTTTGACTGCAATTGCTTCAGCAAATCGCAGTAGATTCGCTGTCCTTTGTATGTTTAATATTTTGAAGGATTTTGGAATCTCGACAAAATGACCCGTATCCACATGGTGGGTGTCTGGTAATTGCACTTTGTAAATATCTGCTTCCTTTAAAGCATACGTTTCTCGGAATATGCTCTGAAAACCGGATAGAAGTCCTTCATTCTGTCCTTCCAATGTACTTGCTGCTGCAGGTGCACGTCAATTTATAAATGGAGTTGGAGGTAACATCAGAAGGGTACTTATCCAGTTTTGACTGGCTTATAGAGCATGTAGTGCTGTATAGTGTCACCAGCTTGGGAAGCATCTCCTTATTGCTCCTTTCATTCTCTTTTCAATCTTTTGCGACACTGTTTCTCCTTTGTATGGGAGGCAAATGAACACTTTCTTCTTTTCAACTGTCAGATACTTTGCTTTCACATCTTTTTCTTTGCTGTACTTTAAGATAAATCCTTTTGGATACCCGTTTCCCTTAAGGCATTTTTCAACAAATCTTAATTCTTCTTCTACCTTGTTAGGCGAACATAACTTCCTGGCCCTGTTGTACAGTGTCTTTCTTTCTCTATCGAAATATAAATATAATTATACAGTCTGTGAAGATGACTTCATCGATAAAGAAGCATTTTCTTCACTGAATTTGTCTTTTATTTTCTTCATGACTCAATGGGTATTTTCGGTGTTTTGTACCACATCGAGATAGACAACATTTATCAACCGATAAGAAAGAAACCTCACACACAAAGGGTCAAAGTTCAAGTCAAAGAAACAATCAGTCCCAATACAAGTAGCCTAGAAGGTGTGAAAACACACAAAAACAACCAATCACGTCCAAGGTCACCGACCAGGAGAGATGATTAATAATAATAATAATAAAAATAATAATAATTTGCTTTATTCCAAAACAGTACTTGTGATACAGAATGGAATTCTCAGCATTTTTACTACAGTATTGCATCCAGTTAGTACATTATCAATAAATAAAATTCTACACAGATTAAGGAAATCACAGTTCATTATTACAACAACACATAGGCATGTCAGTAGCAAAGGTAAAGCTGAAACAGTGTTTGAAGGTGTTAGAAAAGTGGGAGCTGTCTTATTAACAGGCGTAAGCGAGAGAAAGAGACAAAGCAGCACATAACGGAAAAAGAAGAGAGAGAAAAGGAAAAGAAAGAAAGAAAATGTTGTACATATTGATGATGTGGGTTGGAAAGACGAGATCCAGTTGTACTAATGACTATTTAAAGAATTATAGGTGTCACGCCTAATGCTTTCTTTATCACACAGAACGCGAGCTAAGTAGGGTAAGGTTGAGTTTTTGTACTTGCTAGTGCAAGCATATAGTTTTCTATATAGGCTTCTGGTTTTACCTGATGAGATGCAGGGGGAGAGTTGTGAGTGAAGAGGGTGGTGTGAGTTAGATAAAATGGATTTGGCCTATTTTTCACATGAGTCCATGTGCCTGTCAACCAGAATATTAACAAGCTGGTTAAGTGGCACGTTGCTTACCCTGCTGACAACCTTTAACATCCTGCGTAAAATGTTATAGTCTTTCTTCAGTAGCCCTGGAAAAACTAAGGGGGAACAATAGAGAATAATAGGCAGAATGCGAGAGTTAACGAATTGTAGGAGTAAGGGTTGGGTAATACCAGAATGTTTTAACTTCTTGATGTAGAAGGTAAGACGGAATATTTTCTTAGAAATTGCTAAGATATGAGACGACCAGGAGAGATCAGCAGATAGAATGACACCTAGGTATTTAATTTCCGATTAATAAACTCGTGGAGAAATCTGAAAGCTCACTTCCACAAATTGAAGTATGCGCTGAAGATGTCGCCTAGTAGGGCGATGAAAGCTTCGCAAATTACCTATTCAGCTCAGAGAATACAACCGCATCAAAATCATCCACCTGAGCTACAAATCTTCTCCATCATATCTGAACCATTCCTCCTAACAGATTATTACATCACAGTCTAACAAATAAATGGAAATACTGCAGACTGAGAAATATACACACTAAGTCATTAGGAAAATTAAGGAAAATAAACGGTCGTTAGTCATGGCGAAAGTGGAAGGCAATTCCATTAAACTTCTCTCTGTGTAACACCTATACCTTTATTCTTTTTTTCTGGTGTTCTTGTTTTTATCTAGAACTTCATCACACCAGATGCTTCAGCACGACTCCTGTATCTGCTAAATGGTTTAGGCGCTGCTGTCATTGTCAGTGGAACCGCTCAACAATTATGTTCTGATTCTCTTGTAAGAAGTCTACTTGGCAAGCCTTTACCAACTGGATTCGATGAAACACAATCAACTTCACCATCACCGGGGTAAATTTTGCCGTTTCTTTAAAAAAAAGTTGTTCTTATTGGTTGTTTCAATTATCTGCTTACCTGGAATTGGTCCCTAACACCTGACTGTGGAATTTGGTTATTCTGTAGACTAAAACAAGAAGACCTGTAACCCCTTTGTTACGACGATAAGTACCCATGGGGTTAATTTTATTCTTCATCAACCTACTATAGCTTTCATAGAATATGAGTGAGAAATAATTAGAAATAACGTCATGCTTTGGCTAATTTCGATTTAAAATCTGCTAATGACCCTTAATACATTTGGTAGTTTTCACTAAGGAACTACCTAACTAATCAATTTGTGAACCTAATGTTCTAATCACTATTGTCAACACCAACAACAGCAACAACGACACGATATGATACCAAGGAACCTGAGATATAAGAGGACAAGAAGACAGACCATTGACATAGAGAGCTTTAACTGTCTCGTATCAACAGCGAAAGGGTTAACAGCAGTTGACTATCCATCTATCTATCTAACTATCATGCTTCAAATGGCCTTGAGAGACACTAATTACATTGATAAGTTAAAACAGTCATAACCCATAAGATTCCAAGGTCACGAGTGGGGGAGGATTACAAACAGCACTGTAGTGTAAAGATAAATGTATTGTTTGAGCAAAGTTAGGTCTATATAACAGTTTCACTACGATTGAAATCGGTAAATAGATAGTGATTTTGAATCACTATTTATCGTGAATTGAATCGTCTGACAGGCTGATGGAAGTCTTCGGAGGTATTTCATCTCCTATGAAACCCATCATTAGTGTGCTTATTCACATTCTTGAAGACCTAGACTGCGAATTAGTAGAGCTTGAGACTAGCAATTTGTTGTTCAGTCATTGTTTTGCAGACGTGATTATTCTTAATTCCTAATTTGTATCAATTCAGAACACAGCATGATCAGTGGGTAGTGTCATTAGTAAGTAATTTTCCTTACCATTGATTTCACTAGTTATATCTATTAAGGCTGCCTAAAAATATACATCTCATCCAACAGTTGTACGACAATGCTGCATGCCAAGTAATTCACAACGGGAAACTCACGGAATGCTTCGAAGTGAAGACGGGAGTAAGACTAGCTGGCTGGCTGTCTACTATCGCCAATGATTTTCTTGATTGCGGTAGACTGGATAATGCGACAGACACACAGCGGGTAGCGAGGAAACAGGCATGAAATGGACACACACAAAAAACTTGGACCATCTGGATTTCGCCGATGATGATATATGTCTGATTTCCCACAAACTGGAAGATATGCAAGCGAAAAGCAAAAAGTTGGCAGAAGAAGCATCAAAGATAGGAAAGACTTCAGGTGAACATAGAGAAAACAGAGGTGATGAAGATTCCTGGCCAACAGCAACCGCAACAACAGCAGACAACAATCAGCCAGCATAAATGGGAGGAATCTGAAAGAAGCCACCTCCTTCACTTACCGACCTACCTGGGAAGCATCGTTTCAACTACAGGCGATGGAACTGATGATTATATCAAATCAGCGATGATTGGGAAAGAAAGACAGGTTTCGTTGCTCTCAAGTCTGTGTGGAGATCAACAGCACTTAGCATCAAAATAAGATTCAGATTTTCAACTCCAGTGTGAAGTCAGTGCTACTCTATACGGGTCAGAGACTTGGCGCCGCGTCACGAAGGGCACTTCGAACAAACTACAGACCTTCATCAACAGCCGTCTTCGCTCAATACTACTCAAGATCAGATGGGCGGCCAGAAAAGATCAGCAACAGGGATCTCTGGGAACGAACGAACCAACCCAGCATGAACCAATTGTGCAAGAAATATGCAAGAAGAAATGGAGGTGGATTGGCCATACTCTGAGGAAACCATCAAGTGACATCACTAGACAAGCCCTCGAGTGGAACCCGAAAGGGAAGCGGCGAGTTGGTTGGAGGAGGAGGTTATGTGAAGAGGAGATGAAAGCATGTGGGCATACGTGGAGCCAGGTGAAAACGTTGGCAGAGAACCGAACGCCATGGAGACGTGTGGCTGAAGCTCTATGTTCCTCTAGGAATTAAAGGAAACAATAATAATATAATAATATCATAAATTTCGGGAACCTACCTCCAAAAATAGTCATCTTGCTTTTCATTTGTCAGGAGTCAACATCACTTAGAGAACATTTCGAAACTGAGGAGTACTAAACAGATAGATTTAATTCAATTTGGCTTTCCTGCGGAGTGATTGGACCGAAGTGTTCAGCCTCAGGTTGACATGTCGGCTCCTTGTGCAGATGCTTCGACGATATCTGATTATTTAACTTGAAGTAAATTGGTGGACGGTGGGTAGCGCAGTAGAATCCAGGATGCGTGCTTCGGTCCATTCAATCAAAGGGAAAGCCAAATTGAATGAAAGAATTACTAACACCGGTTGTATAACAGGTGGCTGTCGTGGCTTAAATGGTCTTTTGGATAACGCTTTGACGTTTGAAATGATGGATACTGGGTTCGAGCCTCTGTGAGAACACCATCACTCACTGACTCATTGGGGAATGCAGGTACATCCAGTCAGTGGCTGACGAGTCCCGAATGGGACGAAATACTCATCACTGGTCCAATACTGGATTCCACTGCTAATTACCATCCACCAGTTTACTTCAGACACATAGATGTTTAGACATGACTGCTGTGAGCTCCAATCTACACAGGATTATAATTGAGCACGTGACTGGGTTATCTAATAATGATGAATATTTCTGAACATTCAGCGGTTTCCTGTACAGCCTAACTAACCTAGAAAAATTCGAAATATTTTTTGTGGCTAATGTTTAGTTACTTGAAGTTTTGGCAATCATCTGAAAGTGGATAAACATGTTGATATTTGGAATGAGATATTTTATTCCCACAGGATTTAAAATATTTTTCTCATTCAATAAAATCAATAAACATGTACACATGCATGATGCTGTTACCTTTAATAGCGGTTAGCAAGGGAGTATAGTGTGGGTGGGGTGTTATCTTACTTCTTCTAGACTCGTCAGTAGGATGTATCTACATTCAGATAAGTGATAGTATTACCATTGGTAGTCGAACTCACCACTTATTACTTCTGTCATTAAAATATCATTCACAAATCAAATACAATTATTTTCTATAGTTTGGTTTGTACTGGACAGCTGTTTCATCCTAGTTTGGGAATCATCGGCAGTACGCACCCACTGGGGTTCGAACCCAGGACCTTCCGGTTACAAGGTAAGCTCGTATACCATTCAGCCGCTGGGACCTGATTCAATGGCTCATGAATTCTAAATTCTACCAATTCGTGATTTCGCGCGACCCCCCAACGTGACATCTGGATGGTATACGAGCTTGCCTTGTAGTTGGGAGGTCCTGGGTTCGAACCCCAGTGGATGCGTACTGCCGATGATTCCCAAACTAGGATGAAACAGCTGTCCAGTACTGCCAGCTGGTTTTCAATGGTTCTCTAACTGATATCAATCCGTGATCAACTCGTAAATACAATTATGATGAAATTAGAGACAGTATCAAAATGTCTATAATTAAAGTTAGTAATAATAATAGTATCTTTATTCTGGACAGTATTTATATAATGTACAGAATTTTCAGAGGAGTTTATTCCATGAAATTTTCACCTTCGTACAATATTTTCAAGTAAAATATTAATTGACAGTAGTATATCCTGTGACACAACGGTCTCTGAGCTGAAGCGCAAACCATTCCATGATGATATATCTGACTTTTCTCCTTCAAGAAATCCACGATATCTAATAGAAAGCCAATTTTAAGATGTTCAGGAATGCATTTTGAGACTGAAGGATATAACTGAAGGACAGTTGTCTCACGTTTTGGGACATGCTGCCACCTACAATCAGGCCATTCATTAACTTTAGTAGGAACTTGCGAATCAGGAGCTTGTAAACATTTTAAATACACACAAGAGTAGATAATACTATTGGAGATTATATCTTAATCGATTAAAACAAACCGAACGAGAGAAACCATATGCAATAGAGAGAGATAGAAGTTTTTGGTAA